TTTTTTTATCATATATATCAAACACACGGAGGTCGATTACATAAAATAGCCAGCCAAATTTAATTTTTGACTGTTTTTATTATCACGGATAATGTTTAAATTTTAATACAATATTTGTTAGACACATTACATCTCTTACATACTCGTGTTATAAATCATTGGGCGGGCATAATGTATACTTTCTCATATGCAAATTATTTTTTGGTTTACTATGTATTAACAACAAGCTATGGATTACTATGAGTTGTTTTTATTCATTGTTTGCCTCTTTTTGACTTATGCCTTATGAAAAATGCGTGAAAATGGTCATTGTAAAGTGACGCCTTTTTGTATTGACAGCAGATAAACTTTAATTTTTTTAATTTCAAGGTCAGAGTCATGATAAACAAAAGTTATTTCTGTCCAATGTATAATTAACAGAAACCAGTCCAATTCTCAATCCTCAATATAATATGAATATATATCAAAACCACACTTGAGGCGGAGAATTTCTTCATTAGTGGCATCTATCCGATGTGAATCTGAATTAAGCAATTCAGTTAATTTCGAATACAAAATGTCTAAAGCAATATAGATTTAGAGGTGGCAAAACTAACCCAAATCTATTTTGACCCGCCCAAGTTTTAATGGGTTTGGAGTAAGAATTATGAGAAATTTTCATAAAGCACTATCTTTTTAGTGGTAATTAGCTATCTGTAGATACCATTTGCTATATTACGGATTGTAGATACGTTTTCTGTTGTTATAAGATGTATTAGATGTATTTAAGCTACTGTATTCATGAATACAGTAGGCAAAAATAGGCGTGAATCAGGGAAGTCCAGCTAATCAGTTTGTTGTATCGAGTGTATTCGACTGTATTCATGGCGTGAAACATGGGATTACAGCTGGACACGAATTATTGTTTCGACTGTATTCACGACGTGAAACAGGGAATTAACACTATTTTTAAACGGAAAATGTATCAATTAACATAATAAGACTCCTAATATAACTCAACAAATTCAATTAATATCAGCACAAAATTTGTATTTCGGTTGTAAAAAAGATTCTCAACCAAAAAATACCCAAAAATAATGCAATCTTCAGAAGAAATTATATAATACATCTGAAAAACAAATTATATTAATTGAAAAATATTGAATACATTCATGGTATTAGCGAGACAATGAGTACAATGAAATACATCCAGAATATAGCGGGATACATTGAAATACCAATAAAAACAAAGACAGTGAATACAATGAAATACGTGGAATACAGCGAGATACATTGAATTCAATGGAAAAAGACAATGAATACAATGAAAATACATGAAATTACAATGTGATACGTTGAAAAATACATTGAAATATATTAACAGAAAACTCAAGTTGCTCAGCCCAAACTCCGTCTTCTTTGTTCAAGAACAAACCCTAATTTCCGGCGAATCGCCGTCGAGCAATGGTGGCAGAATAAGGAGCTTTAATCACCATTAACGAGCAGATGATTAACAACTTTTGAAGCGCAACAACATAATCTTCATATAATCAAACCTGATGAGGATGTGCCTTCTCGGCTAACACCAAATCAAGCTTACGACCTTGAGTTCCAAAGCAGTTTTGGGAAGAACTTTCGAAGTTCATTCATCTCCACATCTCTCAAACGAAAATTTTAATAAGCCTGATGTAGGCTTCTTTCAACAGTGAACTTTTTCAAGTTCCTCCATAGTAAACACAACAGTAGGTTCTCCATGAAATATTTCAATAGGTTTAAGAATTGTTTTTTGGTGGATTTTGAGCAAGGTTTGTTTGTGAGCACTCTCGTAGCGTATGTAGTGGCTGGGTTAGTGTTTAAATTCGTCTCTCTCACAGCGACATGTATCAAAGTAGAGAGAGAAAGAAAAATAGTGTAAACTGAATAGCGTATTTAGTGCTTAGGGTAGAGGAAACAAAATTAAATATTTGCTATAAACTTATAAAGGTATCTATAGAATATAATTTTTTTAAATGGTATTTATTTAAAATAAATAAGGTGTTAACCTTTGCTATACGAGGTAAAAATTCTTTTAATAAAAACGAAGTAATATGCATAATAACAGCGTGAAAAATGTGCATAATAGTGGGCTCATTTATTGGGCTGGACAGAGAGCTTGGGCTTTCCGTAAGGGCAAAATACAGAACTCATTGCAATTGCTACCCAAAATGTATAACATACGTATACTATATGTATATAACGCACATATATACAATCATATATATATATATATTATATATATAATAATATAATATAAAAGTTTAAACTATATATATATATATATATATATATTATTGGCTTTTATTTTTAAAGCGGCTATAAATATGTATTTCTCGCTAGTTAATTCATTCTAAAGAAATTAACTTAAATAGCCATCCATTCAAAAAAATAGTTGGCACATATTTATATTATACATAATTAGTGTATAATATACTCATATTAGCTAGATAATATAAATATTTTTGTCCAAGCGGCCAAATGTATAATTTTCCCTTTAATTCTATTGCAGCCTAACGATTATCTGTAATCTGTCTGGATATACTGCAATCATATTGGGCTTGCTTAAGATTTCATCAGTAGAAGAATTGGATCTATGATATAACAAACTTGAATGAGAAGTAATGTACTCTCCAAAACTAGTTGGATGTCACGACAAGAAATGGACCTTGAGTTTAATTCAACCATCAAAATTAACTCAAAAGCCGAGGATTGTCTATAAGACCATATAAGGAGACTAATTTTCCCTCCTACAACCGATGTGGAACAACAAAAGATCGTCATCCTCCTTTATTTGCGTTCAAGAATATCTTTCACAACAAGATTTATCAAAGTTTATAGTATCAATAACCACATACACACAATAGGGGAAACAAACAAATCTTTATTTATAAATTTTATGCAGTGACAATACAAAAATCTTAACACAATCGGTAACTTGATAAAAAAATAACAAATATATTGTCATAGGTTAAAATATACTGATAATGTTAAATCTTGACGGTATTAGTACATATAGCTTTAAGGCCTATTTAATAACATAGTGATCAACTAATAATAAGCTGTTGTTGGCTTCTTGACTAAGGAATTAGGAGGGGGAGGCAATACAAGAAGTGGCAAGCCAGCAGTAGCTAAGGACTCATGATTTTTTCTCTCATGAAATTTCTTAATATAAGTTGAAGCCTTACGATTAGTAGTTGCAGCACTCAAATCATCTCGATTCCTCTTGTGAAACTTCTTTATATAATCAGAAAAATTCCCATCTTGATCCTGCTCAGTATTTTCATGAATTAAACGCGACGATTTTTCGCCTTGATCATGTTCCTTGACGTAAAATCTTGATTTGGTTGTTGGCACTTGTGACTTGTTGTTGTTGTTCCCCTTTTGTAGTTGAAAAGGAGAGACTTTAGAAACATTGATTGATGAATTATGAGAAGATTTGTGATGTTTATTGCTTGTTCCTCCCAAATTGATGGCTGCAAGTGAGAAAGATGATAGTGTGATGATATTCACCACTATTTCCATGGATTTTTCACATAGAGATTTCTTTTCTTGTATCCTGTTCTTTTGAGTCATGATTGAGCAATAAAATTTGCTCAATAATAAAATAGAAGGAATTAGTTGTGTGTTTTCTCAAGAATGGCTTCCTTCATTTAAAAGGACCAATCTTTAATTTATTCTGTGGGGTTGGTGTGTGGAAATTTGATTGCAACATCAACAATTAAGGCAGGGCCAAGGCATGTATTTTTTTTTGGGCCCAGTTAAAGGGAACCTTGGAGCAATGATAAAGTTGTCTTAATGTGACCTATAGGTCACAGGTTCGAGCCATGGTAGCAGGCACTAATGCTTGCATTAGGGTAGACGTGCAACCCTTCTCCAGACCTTGCGTAAATACAGGATGCTTCGTACACCGGACTATTTTTTTGGTTAGGGCCAAGGCACATTTTTTGTTGGTTAGCTCCAAAATGAGAAAATAGGTCATGTGCCTTTTTGTGATAGAAGAAAGATTGTCAAAAACAAAATGAGAAAGTAGCTTTGCTTTATTTGTGAAAGAAGCAAGATTGTCAAAAAGAAGGGGATACGCGAGACCATGTGTATAGCTATCATCGAATCTACAGCATTTCCTAGATTTTTTCTAAGCATGATTTGATTAATTAAACTAATTCTGAGTATCTTGTTAACAAATATAGTTTTGTAAAGGGGTGAAAATTCATTTGAGCTTAAGAAGTAATGTTGTTAGATTAGAGAATTTTTGAAAAATGACCACTCCATACGTTTCATTTTTGACTAGCTAAAATTTATTAAAAAGACTGCTCGACTTTATAGATTATTTAGGCCATCTTCAACTCTCCCCCATTTCTCCATAACGGGGGCAACTTTTGCCTCCATAATAGAGGTCCAAGACTCCCCCATTTTTGCCTCCAAAATGGGGGATGAATAGTGTTACTCCAAATATGGAGGTACAATATTCATCTCCTCCATTACGATTCATGATTATTTTATTATTATTTAACTCTTTTAATTTATCCCTTTATATATACCTAATTATGTTTGTGTAATATCTTTATAATATTAATTTTACATCTTAACTTTGGCGTATAATTTTGATAAATTAATTTTCGTGCATTTATTATTTTTATTAAAATTGTAAGTTAATTTTATTATAAGTTATAAGTGTATAAAAAATATATAATCATCTCAAAAAATGAATGGTGCAAATATAAAATGTTAAATGTTGCTAAAATTGAAAGGTGCGAATATAAAATATTAGATGTTGCTAAAATTGAAAAGTAAAAATTAAAAATACATTAAATGATACATTAAAATTGAAATTACATGAAAATTGAAAATACATTAAATTAAAATACATTAAAACTGAAACTACGGTAAATAGCATAATAACTTAGTAGGGAGGTATGTCGTTTCCAGATACACCAAAAGCATTATAGTATTGTGTGAATAGGACCAAGGATTGTTATGGTTGTGATTGTGAATATTGTTGACTTCTTTTATACGTTATTCATTGTTGTTCTTGTCGCATAAATTCACGGCGAGTCGGATCGATAATAGAATCCACATCCATCATTAAAACTTTATTTTTCTTTCATATATTTTACTCTTAGTTTTTCTTTTTGAACAGTCAAAACTTCTTTTTTTTTGCCTCGGTTGCATTATTCATCGCCTCAGCAATCCGATTATTTTTTAATTGGATTATCTTCATATAATCTTCGTCAATTTTTCTCTTCATTTTTGCTTTCTTCATCCCACTAGGGCGTTGTGATAATGTGGAATCACCTGCAACATCATCATTTAAATTTAGTGAAAATGATAATAAGTTAGGAGATGATAGATAGGGTGAATCAGGGGTAGGATTCTCAGACTCCAATGATATATTATCATAGCCTTGCTTTCTTGGTTTTTTCCTTCCAAGATCGCCATCGTTAAACTTCTCAAAATTCTTCCTTATAGCCCACACATGATCAAATTTAAAATCCTTTTTGAAGTTCGGATCTTGGATTTCGTTCTAATATCAACCGTCCGCTAGATTTTATCCTTATCCTATTTTATCTTCAGAATAAAATATCTCTACACATTATTCAAGACGATAGAGCGTGGTTTTCCAGGAATGTATTTGAGATCACCAACAGCTAATGATGTTGTAAGGCTTCTGCATATCGGTGAACAGCGTGGTTTTCCAGGAATGTTAGGCAGTCTAAACTGCATACATTGGAGATGGAAAAATTGTCCAACAACATGGGCTGGACAATATGCAGGTCGTAGTGGATCCCCATCAATAATTCTTGAAGATGTAGCGAATTATGACCTTTGGATATGGCTTGCATATTTTGGTATGCCCGGCACCAATAATGACATTAATGTTTTAGAGTCATCACATTTGTTTTCTTATCTTGCTGCAGGTATTTCTTCTCCCGCCCATTATGTTATTCAAGGAAAAGCATATGATATGGGTTATTATTCAGCTGACGATATATATCCAAAATGGTCAACCCTTGTGCAAACTATTCGTGACCCACGTTCGCCACAGAAGAGATATTTCACGATGAAACACGAATCATGTCGAAAAGATGTTAAACGTGGATTCGGAGTTTTGCAAGCTCGTTTCGCAATTGTCGCATGACCATCACGTTTTTGGAGAAAAGAAGTGTTACATGATATAATAACGACATGTATTATACTGCACAACATGATAATAGAGGATGAACGTGATCTTAATGTACCGGTTCAAGATGATTGGGAATGTCCACCTCCAACGGTAGAAAAGGTAGTAGAAGAAAATCATCGATTTGAGCAATTTTTAGCTCGACACAAAAAAATTAAGGACAAAGATGCTCATTTTGCACTTCGTAATGCATTAATAGTTCATTTATGGGAGCATACTAGAGGTGAAAGTTGAATATTTATGTAATATTTAATATGAATTTTACCATAATGTAATATTGTGATGACCCAAAAAGTCATCACTTGTTTTAGAAATAAATTCAGTGTTTTGAGGCCTAAAATCCTCCTTTTTACCTTACCTCGATTTGCGTGCATAGTCCGGACGCTTAGCCGGAAAACCATTATATGAAAAATCAGTGAAAAATAATAAATTTTACCTTTAAAATGAATTTAAGTGACTTCGCTCAATATTTTGAGTAAACGGACCCGGATCCGTGTTCCGACGATCCCGGGAGGTCCGTAAGAAAATATGGGACTTGGGCGTATGCCCGAAATCTAATTCGAGGTCCCTAGCCCGAGAAATAAATTTTTGAAGAAAATTGTTTTCTGAAAAATACATGAGTTTTTGAAAATGAAATGTGTTTGGAAGTTGATGGTATCGGGCCCGTATCTTGGTTCCGGAGCCCGGTACAGGTCTTATATGTGATTTAGGTTGAGTCCGTGAAACTTGGTAAGAAACGGACTTGAAATGACATGAATCGGACCTCATTTGAGAATTTTTTTTAAATTTGATGTTCTTGAGTGATTTCATGATTTTGATGCTAAATTCATAGTTGTTGATGTTATTTTAGTGATTTGAATGCATGAACGATCCGTATGATATTTTTAGGTTGGTGTGCATGTTTGGTTTGGAGCCCCGAGGGCTCGGGTGAGTTTTGGATAGGCCACGGAGTAGAATCGGACTTGGGAAAATTGCAGGTTTCAGCTGTTCTATTGCAGGCCTGCAGGCTTCGCATTTGCGAAGCCTGGCTCGCAAATGCGAGTTCACAAATGCGAAGGCTATGTCGCAAATGCGGTAATAGCCCAGGCCAGCCTACCTCGCAAATGAGAGGAATATATCGCAAATGCGATCCTCCAGTTGTAACCCAATCGTCGCAAATGCGATAGTTTTATCGCAAATGCGACTTCGCATTTGCGAGAGGTCTATCGCAAATGCGAAGGAGACCTAAAAATTTGCTGTGTCGCAAATGCGATAATTTTCTTCGCAAATGCGATGATAGCAGAGTCTAAGTTCGCAATTGCGAGCCCTTGTCGCAATTGCGACATCAGAGACCTGTAAAATCCATACTTAGACGAATTTTTAACCATTTTTCACATCTTCTCAAAACATAAACACTCTAGGGCAATTTTTCAAAGACAACTTCTTCTCCAAATCAATTGTAAGTCATTTCTGACTAGTTTTCTTCAATCCTTAACATCTTTTCACATGATTTCAACTCAAAATCAATGATTTTCATGGGGGAAAAATTGGGTGTTTTGGGTAGAACCTAGGTTTTTTAAATTTTGGGGATTTGGACCTCGATTTGAGGTCCGATTTCAAAACAAATTATATATTTGAGTTCGTAGGTGAATTGGTAGTCGGGTTTTGGTTCGAACCTCGGGTTTTGACCATGTGGGCTCGGGGTCGATTTTTGATTTTTTGGAAAATTTTTAGAAAACTTATTTTCATGCATTAGAATTGGTTCATTTAGCATTCATTGATTTAGTTAAGTAACTTGTGACTAGATACGAGCACATTGGTGGTGGAATCAAGAGGTAAAGCTATAGTTGAGGCTTGAACTGTGTACGAGGCATCGAGGTAAGTGTTTGGTCTAACCTTAGCTTGAGGGAATAGGAGTTTGGTCTTATATGCTATGTGTTATGTGTTATGTGTTGAGTACGACGTATAGGCATTGTGACGAGTATCTATACGTTGGTGTCAAGCATGCCCGTGAGTCTCATGTTGTGATTAATGTGACTTCGTTTGTACGGTTCATGTTTAATGTGTTGATTGCTATTGTTGAGTAAGGTTGTGGAAAGAATATTGGTATTTGTACATTGAAGAGCGTTGGCTCATGTTGTAAAATGAATTGTGGAAGTGTAATTGGTAATTGAACCTTGTAGAGCATTGGCTCAATTTGTGAACCAAGTTGTGAGGTAAATGTGAAAAACGAGAAGAGAATTGTGGTATTTATCCCTTGCCGGGACGTTGTGGTTTTAAATGTTGTTCCCTTGCCGGGATGTTGTGGTTTTTCAATTGTTCCCTTGCCGGGATTTTTATTATGATTCATTTATTCCTTTCCCTTATTGTTTGTATTGTTGTTTGGGTGAGGAAGAGTGTAAAGCACGAAGGGTGATGCCGTGCATTGTTTTGGTGAGAGAAGAGTGTTAAAGCACGAACGATGATGCCGTGTATTATTATCATTATTTGTGAGGAAGAGTGTAAAGCATGAAGGGTGATGCCGTGCCTCACGATGTACCATTCCGTGTAGATTATATTGATATTATGGTGAGGACGAGAGTAAAAGCACGAAGGGTGATGCCGTGCATTTTATATTGATTTTATGGTGAGGGCGAGAGTAAAAGCACGAAGGGTGATGCCGTGCACTTGTTTGATTTCTGATTCCTGTTGATAATTGAATTGTGGTGTTCCATATATTTAACTGCTATTTTCCTGTTGCTATTCGGTGTTTCCCCGCAGCATGTTTCCCCCTCCCATCCTTGATTATATATGTTTCTGCTTTTATTTTTCCGCTGTATATTATTTATCTGCATAGGTTTACTTGGTAGTCTGGTCCTAGCCTCATCACTACTTCGCCGAGGTTAGGCTAGGCACTTACCAGCACATGGGGTCGGTTGTGCTGATACTACACTTTGCACTCTTCTGTGCAGATCCTAGTGCTGCAGATTTCGGACCGCAGTGAGGTTTCAGCTTCTTGTTTACCAGGCGACCCGAGGTAGTCCTACAGGCGTCCGTAGGCCTTGGCGTCTCCCTCTATCTATTTTCCTGCTTCTCTTATGTAGTTCCAAAGACAGTATTTTGTTATTTCTTTCAGACCTTTATTTGTAGTACTCTTAGATAGTCTATGAAGTTATGACACCAAATCTTGGGTGGTTTTGTTATGGGAGGATATTAGTAGTACTATTAAACTTGACATTTATTCTTCCGCTTGTTAAATTATATTGTTTATTAATTGTCGGCTTATAACTGTTAACGAATTTGAAAATGGAGAAAGCAAATAATTCAGTTGGTTGGCTTGCCTAGCTAGTAGGCGCCATCACGACTCCCGAGGGTGGGAAATCCGGGTCGTGACAAGTTGGTATCAGAGCTCTAGGTTACATAGGTCTCACAATTCACAGACAAGCTCAGTAGAGTCTGAGGGATCGGTACGGAGACGTCTGTATTTATCCCCCAGAGGCTACAGAGTTAGGAAAAAAAAAACTTCACATCTATTTTTTCCTGTCGTGCGGTTTGGTTTCTCAATTCTAATTGAATTTCTACTCTGTTCATTCGCAGATGCCGAGAACACGCGCTTCCTCATCCGCTAATCAGCAGCCCGAGCCCCCAGCAGCTCCCACGAGGGGCAGAGGTCGAGGCCGTGCTAGAGGCCGAGGTAGGGGCAAAGCTCAGCCCGGAGCAGCAGCACCGGTGGCAGAGCCTCAGCTTGAGTTCGACGAGGAGGTTCCGGCCCAGACGGCTCCGGTGGGCCCAGCTCAGGTCCCAGAGGGGTTCATTGCTACCCAGTACTTCAGGATGCTCTGGTCCGTCTAGTGGGCCTCATGGAGAGTGTCACCCAGGCAGGCTTGCTTCCTGTAGCCCCAGCCGTCTCTCAGGCTGGAGGAGGGGTCCAGACTCCTGCTACTCGCACTCCGGAGCAGATGGCTCCCCAGTTTCAGACTCCAGCAGCTCAGCCGGTTGGAGCAGTTCAGCCGGGTGTTGTAGCCCAGACCGGTGACGGAGCAGCCATGACCACCGATGCCTTATGGAGATTGGATAGGTTTACCAAGCTCTTCACTGCCACTTTCAGTGGTGCATCTTCTGAGGATCCCCAGGATTATCTAGACAGCTGTCATGAGGTTCTCAGGAACATGGGGATAGTGGAGACCAATGGGGTCGATTTTGCTACTTTTCGCTTATCTGGATCCGCCAAGACTTAGTGGAGAGATTACTGTTTGGCTAGACCAGCCGGATCATCAGCTTTGACTTGGGAGCAATTTACTCAGCTATTCTTGGAGAAGTTTCTTCCCGTTACTCAGAGGGAGATTTATCGGAGGCAGTTTGAGTGCCTCCAGCAGGGTTCCATGACTGTTACTCAGTACGAGACCAGGTTTATCGAGTTGGCCCATCATGTTCTACTTATACTTCGCATTGAGAGAGAGAGAGAGTGAGAAGGTTCATTGAGGGACTTATCCAGCCTATTCGACTTCAGATGGCTAAGGAGACGGGGAGTGAGATTTCTTTCCAGGAGGCGGCCAATGTGTCCAGGAGGGTTGAGATGGTTTTGCTACAAGGAGGTGGTCAGGGGTCTGACAAGAGGCCTCGTCATTCAGGCAGGTTCAGCGATACCTCGTCTGGAGGCAGGGATTCATATGGTAGAGGCCATCCTCCTAGGTCTTTTCAGTCGGCACTTCAGGTTTCTTACGGTGCTTCAGGTGGCCGTGGTTCTCACATACAGTATTCTGATCAACAGTCCTACAGCGCACCACCAGCTCCTATCAGTGCACCGCCGCTCCTGAGTTTTCGGGGTGGCCATTCAGGTCGTCAGGGTCAATAGTCTCAGCAGCCGAGGACTTATTATACTTGTGGTGATACGGGTCACATTGCTAGATTTTGTCCTCGAGCATCGAGCAACTCTCAGCATCCAGGTTCCCGTGCCATGGTTCAGGCACCGAGTGTTCCACAGCCCGCCCAGCCAGCCA